CACCCATGTGTGAAGAAGCTCCACTTTACCTCCATGCCACACTTTGACTTTGTACGATGTTACCATGCCACGTGTCAACATCACATTGGCTGAACTTCCATTGTCTAATGCCAATTTAGCAACACATGTCTCACCTAATTCACATCAAAAGTTGTATAAGCAGAACAGAGAACAACTTCACATAAAAGACTCAGAAGTAGAGAAAGTATATAATACCAATATCTTCGAATGTAGCTCCATGGCCGGAAAACTCTCGCCGAAGATACTCAACATCGATTGGAAAGTAAGAGAATGAAGCCGAAGCTGATGAAGCTAATGGTGGTATAAAAGATTCTAATCTCTTGAAGTTTCCATTGAAATGAAGTGGCAAAGAAGCAAAAGATCTACTCAAAGGAAGATTACTTCTATGTGAAACAATCGTGGAATGAAGCAGAGCAGCCATAGTTGGTAACTCTGAAAAAACGTTTCACAGCTCTTAGCCAACAACACTAACAAATTGCCTTATCTTCTTCTTTGCTTCATTCATATGACAAAGTAATGGGTTTGGGCTTATAATCAGACACAAACCCTTATTAAAAGCTAGCTCTTGCCGAAAGGTTTCAACTTTGGGCTTTTAGAATTGTCAAAACCAAAAATGGGTTCTGTTTTTTCACTCAAAGGTTCTAACTTTCGAATCATTTCTTTAAAAAAGATCATAACTTTATGGTCCATATTCAATAACTCTCTGATAACGTAAAGAAAACGTTCCAAAGACTTAAAAAGTCAACAAACTTGAAGATAGAGAAACAGAAAGAAAGAGAGAGGAGACATTGTGTTAAATGGTGTTCAACAGTGCGACGGTTATGGCGGTGGCCGACGTATCCACCGACACGTGGCAGTTGATTTGGAGGATTCCGGCGTCGGAGAGGATCAATACAAATCAGCTTCTAGAGATGGCTTTTTGCTTACCGATGCATCAATTGGGTCGTTTTGTTCTCTGTTTGTGGAGTTTTATGTGTCTTCCTTCTTCTGATTCTTTCTACTCTTATAACTATGAATCTTTATCTGCTTC